GAAACTACAAATTGAATAGTTTAGATTCTCAAATATCTCAATTCCCTAAAAAACAATGTTCAGAAAAGAGGACAGGAAACACACTGTCACTAAAAAATTATGCCCCACCCTCATTTTTAATGAATGATCTGGCATTATGTTTCCTGTGATAGTATGACAGATGGTCCTCAAGAAACAGCACTACTCTGGATAAAGTGAAGAAGGGTTTAGTGTTCACATTTTCAAAACCAACATCTTATGCTGGATTATAGGAACCCTATCAAGGGTCTCAGGAGTCCTGCTGGAGGCAGCCAGGCAGCCATTGTCTGACATATCTCTTTATGTAACCATGTATGTGATTAATATGTTTACTCTTCGAGTTTAGATAAAATGGTAAGATTCTGGGAGGCAATTTGGGTATCAAATTATGTACTACACATATAATTTAACCCAGAAAGTAATTCCTAGGATTTTACCTCAGATAGATAAAGTCATAAGCATGAATATATTTATGTACCGAAAAAATCATAATAGCAAAATTCTCATCAAGGCACATGGATAAGTAAATGATGATGTACACTTACAATGGGATACTGTGCTGCTTTTAAAAAATGATGAAGTAGATCTACATTTAGGTACAAGGAAATATATTCCAATATATTACAGAATAAAAAAGTAGGGTACAGAATCTTATTTATGTAAAATAGTCTATGCACAGAGAGATATTTAGAACATGATCATATTTAGTTCCTTATCTGAGCTTTACTGCATCATTTTAAGTATGTAATGTTTTAGAAAATTAAGTGATTTCAATAACAAAAATAGTAAATGTTATTGTCTGTCAAAATTTAATGATGCCTAAATGTCTGGCCTGACTATAAGTGTGTCCCAGGTTCAAAGCAAACTGAAAACTACCTATTGTACAAAAACACATCGACCCACACCATTAGGGTAAAAGCCATAGGGATAACTCAGACATTTTATCTATTCCTGTTTATACCTACAAATATATTTTTTAAAGTTTCCTAAAATTCATGGGTTTTCAAGAAAAGCTTCATTAAAAACTCAATGCAAAGATAGCTCTTAAGAACTTCCTCCAGTATACTGAATTACTTCGATTCTTTCAAAACTGTGCATTCCAGGAACTCCCCCATCCTGCCACATCTTGTTATGCCACCAGCTGTGAGGGTGAGCTTTTCAGGGTGAAACAAAGAATGTTGTTTTTTGTAAAAGGTTTTGCATGGCTTATCATCACTTTTTAGATTAGGATTCAAGGGTACCAAAAGGCATGAAAATGAAGAAAAGTCACAGAAATGTGCCAAGTTGCTTTCATATAGGGATTGTGTTAGGCCAATACTAAAGTCAAGTAGAATGAAATAATACCAAAGAGTTGTCAACGTGTTGAAATGACAACAACAGAAGAAATGTTTTCCTTTCAATTCAGAAAAATGGAAAGTCTTCAAAAAAGACACCAAACCAGATAATTAAAGAGCAAGCATCACTGTACCGAAAAACCATGGATTCTTTTTGAACTTGAAATGAGAAATGGCAATTATTGGCCTCATCTGGCAATTGAGTATCCAGTTGGTATTCAGAAGAGTGTTAGGAGTTAGAGGAAAATACAGAAGTGGGAGACAGGATCTTACCCCCTTAGGCCAAAACACAAGAGAAGAGAAAAATGAGAGTTTCGTTAAGTGTTTAACAGGAAAACAACCAGAAATGTGACCAATGCTCAAAGAGAAGTGATATAGGTGTGGCTTGAGCTGTCCCTGGAGACTTTGGGAGCTGAGAGGAATTGAATTCAGTTCCAGCCCTGGAACTGAATGTGTCAGAGCAGGAACTGCATTGGGCGAGAAGGGACAGGACAAACAACTTGCTCACCTCAAGGGGTGTTCCCGAAGAGGAATAGGGACAAAGCCTAATTCAGGGTCCCCTCGTCTTCCTAACTCTTCCCAACATCAGCTTTCACATGACACATGGTTAAATAAAGATTAAGTAATACCAAGAAGTCGACAAGCAAAAGTGGTGTCATAAAACACTAACATTCAACCTGAGAGGTGTCAGGGACCCGGGGGCCCTACTAGGGCTGGCCGCTTGGAAGGAAGGAGGACTATTTCCAAAAGGTGAGCCACAGCGAGCAATGCTGGAGATGCATGTTGTTACTATTACCATGTCTATGCCCTGCCAACACACGTTTTTAAAAGTTAATAGGGTCGGGACTGGTTAGTACTTGGATAGGAGACCACCTAGGAAGACGAGGTGTTATAGGCGTAAAAAGTAAAAAATAAGGGATTGTAAACTGACAAGTTCCTTGCAATCTGTGAGGTCAACCAAGGGTTGCCTTGCCTAAAAAAAATTGTTTAAAAAATTAAAAATAAATAAAAGTTAATAAACTGAAGCTTAGACATAATCTAAGTAATCTGCCCAACATTTGAACTCTGATCTTCTAACCCAGAAGTTCTCAAAATTTTCATCTTGGGATCCCTTTATACTCTTAAAATTATCAGAGAATTCAAATAGCTTTTATTTACATGAGAGACATATATAGATATAGAGATGATGGATAGATAGATGATAGATAGCTAGAGAGAGAGAGAGAGAGAAACAGACACAGACAGACAGACAATTTGCCATATTAGAAATTTAAACTGAGAAATTGTTAAAACATGAGAATACAAAAGCACCATTCCTTTGGCCATCAATGACATCATCGCTTATCACATGGCCTCTGGAAAACTCCATTGTACACTCATGACAAGTGAGAGTGAAAAAAGCAAACAACAAATTAATATTATGATGAAAATAGTTTTGATCTCAAAGATTTCCTAAAAAGATTTGAATCTCCTAGAGGTCCGAGATCATGCTGTGAGATTAGTATTTTAATCCCAAATCCACATGTAATTTTTCCAAGACTAGACTGTGGTACCTTCAGGGAATGAACTTCACAATCTGGTTCTAAGCTCCATTTATTGCCCCGGCTCCCACATTTGCTAAGAGCTCCCATACTAGCCACACCAGAATGAACTCTCTCCCAGTAAATGAATCGTGAGTGCTCAAGTGTCTTTACAGGTGCTCATGTTGTATTTCCTTCTCCTTTTAAAGACTCCCACTCTAGGATTCAGGGCTCTGCAGAGAAGTCACCCACCCAGCCCCAGGCAGAAATGACCACTTTCCATGAACAGCACTTTGTTCTCACCTTTGTTATACTGAATTCCATTTCCTTGTGCGTTGGTAACGTGTCTGCCTCTCCTTCTTTCATGAGCAATCCTGTCATGAGCAAGGGGGACCAGGAATACACCTTGGACCTGCACTTAAAGACTTGAGCCTCCCCAAGCCACTGGGGAAAAGAAACTATAGTGTCTGAATGAATCTTTAATTCCACAGTCCTGGCTCCTCGTATTTGTTCAAAACTGCATTATTTGCTTTGTCTAATTACTATAAAATGATAGATATATCTGGCTGATGGGACTGCCGGTGACATTGATTTCTTTTACTTGACTGCAATATATTTTTATAATTATAAATGTAATACAATGTTAAAGTATTTCTTTACAAGCTTAACAGCTAATAGGAAGCACTTATGCATGTGATACAGAGTTCTATGTGCTTTATATACATATTAATGCTTTTAATTACTTACGCTATTAACTGCAAAAAATAAGTAGAGGTGTAAATATTCAACTCAACCATATAGTGATTCTTCTTACATCATATACCATATGCGCATATTCTATTGTTGCCTATAACTTGCATATATTTATGTTATCTTGGCTTTATCTTCATGTCCCAAATGGAAAATTCCAGATTTTTTTTGTGTCTCATTTCCTGAATTCCTCAGGGAATATTGCTCATCTTGTAGCCAGGCAATATAGGATCTTAACATCTATGCGCAAACCTAGCTTTTTAACTTTACAGATCTCAATTAGCAAACTGTTCTCCTGGAAACAAATCCATCTCTCAGTGGCCACCAGGGAGCCGAATTAACTCGTTGCCTTCATAAAGTTCAGTAAACCATTTACGGGGGAATGTTTCCCACAGATGGAATTCAAAATGGATTGTTTTGTAAAGGACTTTTATCTCCTAGAATAACCAGAAAACAGAATGTTTGAAGTAGTGACATGACACACTACTCATTACTAACAAAGAGCTTTCCACCCCTTGCTCAAAATCTGAACTACTCATTTCTGCGTGACTGCAGAAGCTTCTGCAGAAGAGAAAGAAAGAATGGGTTGGGGTTATTGTTTAATTGGCCGCAAGCTGGATATTGGCAATCGGCTGGGTTCCTGCTGTGCTGTTACAGTCAGGCCTGAGGTAATCTTTGTGCGACTAACCTCCACTGGCCTGTGCGCCCTCCGTGATACCCCCAGGCTGGCCCACCCTGTCCTCTAAGAAGGCCGGTGGTCTGTGCGGCATCTCTGCTCCGGAGGAGCCAGGCTTCCTCATTGGCATGCAGGTAGCGCTCCCATAAGCAAAGGCTGCAGAGTGTCATTAAAGTGGTGGGGAGACAAACAACACTCACGCTGCATACCAAGTGGTACCACATTTAACTGAATCATTTTATTATCAATACATTCCGGGCTGGCACTGTGAGCCACTAGTGTAAAATATGCTGGCAAAATGGATCTCTGCTAATTACATTTCATGCATATTTCAGAATTTTCCATGGGGATACAGGAAGACAGTGTTCATAAAAGAAAATTTTACAGCCAGGTTTACTTGCATTTGGCATCAAGACCCAAACTAGCAGGTAACAAAGATAAGTTCAATGTCGTTACATGTTACATTTGTTTTAGCTGAAATATTGTGATTTTTTTTATAACTATCAGTGCTGCTGTGGTCACTGGCTGAAAATGAAATCATTCTTCAAATCCACCTAAACACACATTATTCCAAAAAAAAAAAAAAGCACATGGCTATTAAATGATTTCTTTTCCATGTCCTGAGTGACCTTAGATGGAATTAAGAAAATGAAACCCTGGATGTGGGGACCTGTTGAGAGAGTGACAGAAAAGCATCATTACCTGCTTCAAGACTGAACTGTAAAGAACACAAGTGACTGCATTCTCGTGGCTTTTCACCCTCTTGCTGGTGTCCCTTTCCATTGCCAACAATGCTAGCTGGTGATTAAATGAGATGAAAAGTCGACCGTGGGCTTCATCAAAGTGGAAGAGGCATCTGAAGTCCTGACTTTTGGGGAGAGAGCATGCTATCCTCTGGATGGACAACTGGTGCTGTATATCCCAGAGTCTCAAAATCTGGATGAAAAGTGATAAAGTCATATGAATATGTCAAGAATAATTCTAATTTTTTAGCCAAGTTATTTTCTGCCTCATCCTCAACCCCAGGCAGACAGTTGCTTCCTCCACAGTACTATCACTGTTCACACGTCTATCATAATACTTTTTTTGGTATTTCCCTTATCCATTTAAATACCTCATCAATTGTGATCTCCTCTAGAGAAGGGATGTGCTTAGTCTTGGTCCCTGGAAAAGTGCTTGGCATTTAGTAAGTGCTGGTAGCAGGTAAACTAGTGGCTACCAAACATGTCCATGTCCTATCCCTGGAATGTGTCACTGTATTATCTTAGATTTTTGCACATGTGGTGAATTAAGAACTTTGAAAATGTCATATTATCCTGCATGATTTGAGTGGGTTCAACATAATCACAAGGGGGAAATCAGAGTGATGAGATGTAAAAGGACTCTAGCTACTGTTACTGGCTTTGAAGATGGAGGAAGGGGCCTTGAGGCAAGAAAGCTGGAAAAGGCAAGGAAACGGTTTCTCTCCCATAGCCAGCCTCCAGAAAGCAGGAGAGCCTGCCTTGATTTTTAGACCAGTGAGACCCATGCTGCAATTCTAACCCACAGAACACAAAATAATTTTGTATTGTTTCAAGCCCAGTTTGTGCTGATTTGTCACAGTATCAACAAAAAATTAATAGTGTTTCTCTCTTCCTCTCTCTCTCTCTCTCTCTCTTTCTCGTGTTTCTCTCTTCCTCTCTCTCTCTCTCTCTCTACCACCCTTCCCCTCTCTACTCTCTCTCTATATAAAAGACTTTGTATTAAATTAAATCAAGTTCAAATAAACCATAGAAACTAGATTCTTATTCAAACATAGACAATCAAGACACAAAGATGATGTACAGATAGAACAAGACAAACAGAAAGAGCAGCTTTGTAGGTACAACTGTTGCTGCTATGAGTCTTGGTGCAAAATTAACACAGGCCAGGGAGGAAAATGGAATCAAAATCAAGATGGTGAAAAGCACCTCCAAAAGGGACTAGCAGGCAAGATCAAGCGCCAGACTGCTTGAGTTCTAAATCTTGACTTTGTCCCCTACTGCAGGGTGACCTCCAGCAAGTTTGTCTCTCTGAGTTTACGACGTAGTAAACTGTGAGGATTAAATGAGAGCCCATGTAAAGCACTGAGCATGATGACCAGCACGTCATATGTATAATAACTGCTTTTTTATTATTAAATTTTATTTTTATTGCGTAAATATTAGAACCTAAGCATGAAGAAGGTTCTTTCAAATAAACTAATCTATCTTATCCACTGTGAGAATTATTTCTAAATTATCTATTAAAACAATGGTTTCTGTTTAAATAAGTGTTTATTACTCCATAAGGTAGGCAATCCAATAGTTCTTAACCTATTTTAAATCAGATACACCTTTAAGAAAATAAAAAACTGTTGAAAATGATGATCTGAATGAACAAGACAAACAAAAGCTCATAGTCACAGACAACAGTTTAGTGCTTATGAGAGGGAAGGCAGGGGGAGGGAGAAAAGGATAAAAAGGGGTCAAATATATGGTGATGGAAGATTTGAGTTTGGGTAGTGAACGCACAATGCAATATACAGGATAGGAATTTCTACAGTAATTATTAAATATATTCAGCCAAAACGTCCTCTTCTACCTCTTGATTCTATTCTAACCTCTTTTCTTACATCTACATAAACCTCTTACACCTCTTGCCCAGGTTAAATAATCCCAGCTTCCTGAACCATCATGTTATCAGTTTTTAGATCCCATTCCACCATGGCAAACTCTCGATTCTCTCACTTTGTTTTCACTTTTTTTTTCAGGGAAGGATGGTCATCTAGACCTTGTTTACTTTTTAAATCATAGCAGAATATGTCATGGTATAAAATCCAATAGCGCCAAAAGGTTTTTTTTTTTCCCCCAGCCCATCTCTCTCAACCCCAAGTGTCATACTCCTAGAGACAGCCTTCTTTAATTCTTTCTGGGTTATGGGCTTCTCAATAACACCAAATAATAGCAGTGTGTGTGTGTACATAGCATATATTAATCATATATCTAATGACTCTCTCCTCTGAAAAAAAAAAGAAGTTACTTACATTCCTTTTATTCTTTTCTCTTCCCATTCCTCTCAATTTAAACATATAATTTTTTTTGTCCTATCAGCTGTTCTAATTTAAAATAATACACTTACATGTTAATTAATGCACTATAAACTTGAGACAGTATCTTTTGACTCACCAATGTGTAAAATGAGCACCTTAGGGTCCTCAAAGGTTGGTTTTAAGCAGTGTGCTCAGAGTTGAGACAATATTTTGGGTGATTCCCACCACTGTTACAGGTGCTATGATTTCCCTAATGCATTAGCTGATTACGCCACTCTATCATACATTTCACATACCTTGAGGCCCTAATTGAGCAAAACCCTAAATATTATTCCCATGAACAAATAATCAAACAAGATATCTACCATCCTATCTTCAAAAGTCTGATGTTTTAAGCTAAGATTTGGATTTTTCCTAGTTTTGATTTACAGTTACCGGGTGACAATATAATGTCAAATCATAAGACAATTACATTGACAATTTCTCCCTGATTTGTTCACAAATCTCATGGAACATAGTAGATGTTTAATAAGTATTTTTTGAATTTGTTGAAGATTGTAGTTCACCCGATAACTATGTCTACATCCATCTTATTGATAAAAAGATTAGCTAGAACAAGTCAAAGAATATAGCACTCTCATAAAAAATTTTTGCCTCACTTCTACATGGTTATTCACCTAATTGCAGATCTCATATAATCTACAATGAAAATTTATGAGAATTTTTCAATATCCTGCAGAAATAATTACGTTTGATGTATAGGGTAACTTTTCCATCTACCAAAAAAACTTAAAATTACCTAGTAAATTCCTACCAGATAAACAGCAGTAAAATTCTTCTAACTCAGGAATATATATTTATGAAGTACATTGGATTTTCTTGGCAAGAATTCATTAAATAATTCATTCTGGTTCTTAGTCATTATTTTGATTTAAAACATTCTGGAAGATCTCCAGAAAATATTTATCCTCATAAATAAAGATTCTATAAGAGCCAAGACTTACAAATAGATTTTAATGTGTTCTAAATATAAATAAAATTGATAAACTATTCTGAATGTTAAAGCGATGAAGATTAGACACATCTAGATTATTCACAAACACTCATATAACAATCTTGCCCTCATACATTCATATTACTTATGATAGCCTTTCCCTCAAGGTCCAAAATCCTGTCTTGTTTAGCATGGACCTTGTTCAAAAAATAAAAACTAACCCATGTCAGAATAATAATCTGGGGCATAGTTGAGTATAGATCAACAATAACTCTACAGTATTAATGTACTATAATTTTTCCAGAATGATTTTCTACTGTGTTGTTCAAATGATTTACATTGGCTTTAATATTTCATTGACATTTAGTCATATAAATGAAATAGAAAATAGAAAATAGATGAGTGACAAACTCTTTAGTCTATGACAGGTTATTTTTTGCTATTAGCAACTAAAATTAGAAATATTTTTTATAAAACTGTGTATGTTCACAGTTTTATAAAAAATATTTTTATAAAAATATGTGTATGTTTTTTTTCTTAAAATAAATTTTTATTGTTCTACTTTCCCTTCTTCCTCTGGAGAACTCTCTCAATTAATGGTCCTACAAAGTCCATCTTCTGATTTTAATTCTCTTTGCTGAGGGTCAAAGCAATAGCACTGATAAACTGCATTGAATGCATATAACAGTGTTTCAGCATTTTCCTAGAAATCATGTCATAGTATGTGACCTCCCATAAGCTTTTCAATTTTTCCTATACTACCACATTCTACACCAGTATTTCTTAACCTTGACATTAGAAACACCTGTGGTACTTTAGAAATATCCTAGGCTTGGGGCCTTTTCCTAAGGCAATTAAATTAGACTTTTTGAGGATGGGGCTAGGAATTAGTGATTTTAAAAATTTTCCCAAGTATTTCTTTTGTATCATACCTTAACTTCTCTACTTTGTCTTAAGGTCAACACTAATCCCCTTGAACAAGAAACCCTGCTCTCAATTTAATCAGTAATATCATGGGGCTTGGCTCTAAACCAGATAACCATACTTCCTTTTTTCCTTAATTAGTCTATATCCTTTTAATCATGAAAAAAAATCTCACATTAATTCAATTTTATTAATCGAGTCCTTTGACAAAATGTCACTTAAATATCAGGTTAATATTTGTGAATCCTGGGTTCTCCTCTTCTTCTACATTCAAGTCGACTTTTGGAAAAGAATTAGGCTACAGTTTAGAAAAGATCATATTTAATATCGATTTTCATTCTAGATATGCTAGAGATGTTTTTTCTTCTTAGTAAGAGAAATAAATAAATCGACAAATACCTAAGCATAACAATTATGATTAATAATTGGTTCTTTTAAAAATATTTTCCACAAATTTTTCATCTAAACTATTATTTCTATTTACATCATTATACCTGAGAAATCATGATGTCTGTTCCAGCTCAGACTTACTAAGTCAAGTCTTTAAAATGGCATATTTGGGAGCTCTTTATTTTATCTATATGTTATATTAAGAGGAATAAGTAACTAAACTTGTGATCTTATATCAAGGTAAAATTTAGCTTGTCACATAATGATGATATATTTTTTCTGCTTAATCTTTACCTTGTTTCAACTGTTAGATATTTAATAATGCAAGATTATAAAAACAAATATTCTATTACTTATATATACACTAGAACCAGAAACCAGTGGATTGAGACTCCAGACACACTGATCCTGGTTTTAATACTACTCGGGTTTGTTATCTTAGATATGTGATCTTACTTCTCCATTTCCTCACCTTCTACCAAAGTGGCCCCAGTCAGCTCTGAAATTCTGTCAATTTAGTCTAGCATGTAGTGAAATTGCTCAATCCATTATCTAAAGATTCCAAAATACCAACAATTC